AAAGGTACTTTTTGTTCCACCATCTGCCTGGCTGTTCAGGAAAATGCTGAACAGAAGGACCAGAAGGTGTCTAGGAGAAGCCAGAGCATGGCACCGCCAGGCACCAGGAGCCACAGGGGGTGCCCCTGGGGCAGCAGGCAGGGCCTGGCAGCCAGTTCTGTCCTGCCGGCCCAGCCAGGAGCCAGGCAGACGGGGGGCTCTGGGGCAGCCCCAGCCCCAGGCACTGGGCACCCCTGGGGATTGGGATGGGCAGAGGCTGGGCCAGGATGTCAGCCTGGGTGGCAGGCCTGGCTTAGCAAGGCCCATGGCCGGGCAGGGTAGGGCTGTGGGGAGCTGGAGATCAGCCCCAGTGTGGTGGCGCTGGGGCAGGGGCTGATGGCCCTGGGGGCTGACATGGGGTCCTGGGCTGTGGACAGGCTGGGGGGAGGTCCTAGAGGAGGCCAGGCAGGGGCAGTCAGGCCCATCAGTGCCATTAGCCATGATGGGCGGCTTTAGGAGGAACAGCAGCCTGGAAGCCAAGCATGGCCACAGCACAGGTGGTGACCTTGCCAACAGGACACAGTCCTGCAGCATCTCAGCAGTCCTGGGTTGGTGACATTGACAGTCCCAGCAAGGCAAGGAATCAAATCAGGTCCAGGGTCCAAACAGGGAGAGCAAGAGACACCTGGAGACAAGACTACAATGTAGGTCCAAGGTCTATCAAGGAGACAGAACCAGAGAGAAGACCAGAGACAATGCTGCCTTCCACATAGGTCCACAGTCTACGAAGGAAAACTGGTCAGCAAGACAGGGCTGCAGGAATCGGGCTGGGAACAGGTTCAACTTCTTAAATAGCTCTGGACGTGTTTGGGTGCCCAGGCCTGAGCTGACCTGAAGCCCCAGAGCTGTCGCAGAGGGTACGTGGTGCTGGGGTGGACAGGTTGGCCAGGACAGAGCCCTGATAGAGTGAAACAACTAAACCGTGATTGCAGACTTCTAGCCAGCGAATTCCTTAAACATGCTAGAAGCTACAATGTAAAAAACATCATTTTGCTTAGAGCATAACTTTTCAGAGCCAAGCCAGTGCCTGTGGAAATACCATGTGATTAGCAACAGTCCTTTTTCTCCCCAAGCCCTTACTGTTGATGTTCCTGGCTCAGAAGGTGCAAGCCAAGTCTCAAAGCCCAGGAAGCAGTGCATCCAGACCCAGAGCTCTTCCCAGACCAAAGTCAGATGTCCTGTCTTGTTTCTCTCAAGGCTATCGGGCTTTGAATGAGAGGAGGCCCTTGCTTCTCTCATTCAGGGTTCAAACCCAGAAACCATATATTAAGCAGTTCTTTTTTATTTTGAAATCTGCTCAGAACATCTACAACTTCAGTATCAGCCTTGCCATTTCTTCGGTCTGCAATCTTTTATAGTTGCCATTTTTGATCCCTTAGAAATAGCTGTTAAGATATTTATTCTTTCCATAACATTTTCTGGACTACCACTGCTGCCACAGAGCAGCTGACATGCCAAAGCTTCTAATGCCAATATGTACTTGCATGTTCTTTTTCCTACTAAATAAAAGGTAATTCAAAATACTTTGCCCTCAGTGAAAGAGCAATGAAACAAATTACCCTTCTTCTAGTTTAAGAGCCTGAAACACAATTACTATGGAGTAGCTAATGCAGGGTAGCCTATTAGTAAAGATAAGTAGCATGAGGATACCTTTAGTACACCAAATGAATGAGTATGACTTGGTTTATGAAAACCCACTGAAATGACTCAAATCTTGGGACTACTTATCTGCCCACTGTTAAAACTATTATTCCTTTGATTAGTCCACACACAGTGATACACAGAAAGTAACACTGAAGTTGCAATAAAAGTGGGGGAGAGGGGGGTTGCAAAAAAGTACATCCAAGAGGTTGCAACAAATCACCCCAGCAGTATTGTCATTAAAGAGGGGATACACTTCCCTAGTCTCCTCCTGCTAACCAGGCCATGTCGTGAAAAGCACGGACTCCTCTGTTGTGCTCTGAGTTGTATTAGGTCATCAAGATTGGTTGCGAGAAAACATAGATTAAGCTGGAAGAGGATTTTAATGCTGCTGCTCAAAGTTGACAAGCTGCCTCTGGACAGTGTCAGGCAATGAGACTCACGGCAGCTAAGAGACTTGGTCCAAAATAAGACAGAGATTCCTTTGGTGATACATTTGTTTTGCTAAATGGCTTTGTACAACTCTGTGTCAGCCTGTGTCAACCGAAATATTTCTTTGCCAAAGCCAAAAGGAACTGAGATTTTAATGTCCTATTGCTAATACACCATAGAGTGTCCCCAGGACAAGCTGGATACTTTAGCAGTAAGAACAAGAAAACCAGCGGAGAATTTTGATATCCTGGAAAAACCCTGTAGGGAGATGTAGCACTGTCTGAATTTTGTAACATGTAGCACATTAGGTGAAGTTCATTAAGTGGCTGATTACTCTGTTTAGGTAGAGGACCCAAGGCAAGGCTAACACCACTAAACTTTTAGTTTTGTTTGGTCTCTGATGTATCTGCATTTCATTTTAAAAAAGTTATGACCATGTGGCTACTGCAGTATAAATCATGGAAACCACAACACCATGAGAGGAAATAAGGCAGCAAGTCCTGAAGGTCCCAGCAAGTGCCTCCCTGCAGGATGGGTGGGCTGAGGTGTTGTTTCCAGATCTGGGAAGGATCAGTGGGACTGTATGAAGCACACAGTAAGGAACCCTAAGCTTGCACCACAACCTTGGCCCCCATTCTTATGAGTTGCCCTCAGAAATTAGTAAGGCTTTGGAGCACTGTGAAATGATACAGTTGTGTCTCACAGCTGATAGGATGGATGGATGAGAATGTGTGTCTTGTCTATGGTCCCCCAAACAGGAAGACAGGCCATGCCTCATGAATGCCAGGCAATATTACCCTGGATGTCTTAGACAACAATCGAGTAGACTGACCAGTAGGTTGTTTTGCGGATTGTAGCAACTGTGGTGAAGTAGCACTTGCTGACCCTGAATTACTATTCACACAGGAAATAGTGTGGATAGCTTCCACAGGGGACAGGATGGGATTGGACAGGATGGGATGGGTTAGCAGCCAGAAATAGGTGTTCTTCCACCCTCAGAACCTGTACGAGCATGTGACTTTCTTTGTGAAATTTGTTATTAGCCCTTGGCTGGGAAAGAACATGATCCCACGTCTGAGAGATAGCAAGCCTGAACACAGTGTTAGCAGCCTCCAGCAACTTGGTCTGGCTTACACTGTACTGGAGTCTCCCTTAGCACTGACCAGAGTGGTGAACAGTTACAGAGCTCCATGTCTGACTTGACAACATTGAGTCACAATTTTTCCCTTGCCTGTGCCTCAGTGGAGCGTGCAGCTCCCTTGTTCGTTGGCCTTGAAATTCAGTGATCTGCCTGTGGCTTCATTTTTATTTAGTCAGATTGGTATGGACACCAAAAAGTGGCGGTGGCTCTTAGGGCTGCAGGGTGAGTCACAGATATGAGCAGTGTGCCAGAAGGACATGACCGAGTAGGGCACGGGGCAGCCAGCATTCCCAAGGGAATTCCATACAATGCAGTGTGAATTTGTCTAGGACAGTCTGTGGTGGGTGCTTCAGCTTGTCCCTTCACTGGGACACCCCTAAGGATATCCCTATCTTAACAGCACAAATGTGTCTGATGGGATTCCTCACTTGCACAAGATCTAAGCACTAACATATGTCTGTAAGATCAGGATTTATATTGTATTTCTTTATGGGCATAGTATTATTTGCTCACCTTAAAACAATACGTTGAGGGCATTAGTTATATTTAGGAAACACATACTAATGAACTGACTTAAATTACTTTTAAAGAGTTGTATCAAAATAATATCCGATATGTTGTACTCATAACTTTTGGGTAACTCTGATTTAGCTGGAGGGGAACTGTTTATCCAAGAAGAGTGTGGTCTGATTTTTTGCTGAGTAGGTTATTTTTTCAAGTTTCCTCCTCCCAAGGTTACAAACATTTTTGCTGACATTTTTCTTGTTGTGTACCTACACATGCACAAAATCTACATGAAGGAGAAATCACTGGCATTTAGTTGAAAAAAAAAAAAGTTGAAGGAATTGAGGCAACGTATTAAAGAACTTTCTTTACTGCCTCATTGAATTAATATCTTTTCTTCTCTCGCTACTTTTAAATACTTGTTTTTAGCAAGAGAATCTCTTGCTTATGAAGAAGCTCAGAATTAAATCAGTATTAACCAGATTTTTTTTCTGCTTTTAGTATGTCTGTTGGACACAGAGATGACCGCTTCAGTGTGGGAATCTCTGTGCCATGTCCATTGTAAACCTGTGTCCCTACCAGTGACCAGAGTAGGGTGCTACTTCAAGTGACAATAATTTCACAGCACTTCTCTCAAGGTTAGATTTTTTTTTCCCCCTCCATTTTTTCTCTGGTGAAAGGATTTTATGTTTTCTGGTAATGTGGAAAATGTTACTCTCTCCTCTTCCTTTTGCTCTCTTTTATCATGTGATTTTCAAAATCACTCTTTTGAATTTTCGGTGCTTTTTTCAACTGCTTCAATTTAGTGCGTATCTGCTTTGCAGTCAGTGAATTTTTACTCGGTGTAAAGATCCGCGGCACCCTCACTGCTTTCACGGGTGAGTGCGTGTTGCGCTTACCCAGCCCCCTCCCTCCTCCCTTCCGCAAAGACGCTAGAAGAAATGTTCGGGCTAAGACGTCACGCCGCCGCCTTTGAAAACGGCTCGGCGGGCTCTGCAGCCCAGCTCCGCGCCTGGCAGCTCTCGCCCGGCCGGGCGCGGCGCGGGTCTGCC